ATAGTTAGGTGCAATCATGACCAGAAAAAGAGTTTGCAAAATAGATCTGGAAACCCAACTCAGACCTGCTCGGTTTTCATGGTGAAGCGCACAAACAGCCTCAGTCTCACCCCAAAATTTTACCTCCAAGTTTTTCAGAAGGCGCCGACACCTCCCAACGCTCTGCAGAACAAGAGCGAGGCCGGGGGAAGGAGCAGGACAGAGGTGTGCGTGATTCCCTCCCTGCTGCGCTACTTCTGCCGCTGGAACGGCTCCGCAGGTAACCCTTCCCCGGGGGGTCCCTGGGGTGGCAGTGGGTGTCCCCAGGGGGCTGCAAGCCCAGGCTCGGTGTCGATGAGCATGGCGAGGAGGAGCTCATTTTGCTGATCATCTCCATCCTCTGTGGGCCTCCGGGAGGAGGAGGCACCTCTCCACCTTCCCCGTGCTCACCCCACTGTGTCCTCCTTGCGGTGGATGGGTGGGGAAAGCGGGCAGGAAAATTGGGAGGGAGAGAGCTCCCTCCCCAGTGCCTCTTGGCTGGTTTAAGCGAGACCTCGAGCACTTGTTGGGGTGTCTCACGGCTCCGTCTCCTCTCCAGGCCACGGGGGCTGCAAGCTGTGCCCCCAGTCTTGGCAGCTTTTTGGGGACCAGTGCTACCAGGTTTCCAAATCAACTGGGACTGGACGGAAGGCAAAAAAGACTGCGAAAGTCAGGGGGTCCCATCTGGCCGTGTTCCGAAACACCACCGATATGGTAAGTGCAGAGTGTAAAAGGCTTGAAAAGGACCCAAAAGTCCTGGGTTTTGGTGGGTAGAGGGGCAAAAACTGCCCCGGAGCTGCTGGTTGGTGGCAGGAGGCTTGGTAGCTCCAAGCCACTTCGCACTAAGGAGGGAACAGGGCTGAATCGCCACCTAAAGGGCTTTGGAGGCCTCTTCCCACCTTTGGCATGGGAAGAAGGAGGGACAAAGAGCTCGGGGGGAGCCTCCGGTGTCTCAGGCTCTGAATTTAAGCAATTTCCACCCACTGAGTGAGGCAGCACCCAAGGCACAGGTGGTGTTTAGGGCCCGTCTCTTTGAGGATGAACCAAATGGGTTCAAAAAGCCAGCTTTGCACCCCAACGAGCCTCTTGCTGAAGGCCCCTGGAAGCCAACACTCCTCTCCCATTCACCAGGAGCACTTACGTGAGATCATCCGCCGGGACAAGCTAACGGTGTGGATCGGATTAAAGGTATCCAACAACATACGGAAATGGGTGGACAACTCCTCCTTCGATGCCAAAATGTGAGTACAGCTGCAACCTGCGGTGTGCGGAGCAGCTTTGCTCCACTTCTGCCCCAATATCTTCAATATTTGGTATCTGTGACAGCTTTTTAAACCCCCCCGAATGGCTTTACAGCCCAATAGTTGGCTGTACGAAGCACTATAACCCAACATCTAATCACGCCTACGCAGCCAACATGGTTTTAACACTCTGGGCATGCTCCAGTGGAGGAAGGGGCCAGATGGTCGTGCAAGCACAGCAATCTGCACGCGCATCTGGGCAAGCCCACAGCAAGAAGCCACCTGGAGCCCAGTGAGACAGGCTGGGGGAGAAGCTCCCGTTGCCCCCTCTCCCAAGAGCAAAAGGAGCTGCCTTTGAGTGCTGATGGTTTTGGTTTGCAGGTTCGGTTCCCTTGGGAGTAAGAACGGCTGCGCAACATTGAAAGACAAGAAGCTGGAGGTCAACAACTGTGGGAGCGACCATAACTGGGTTGCCAGACAGAACCCTTCCATCTCTTTTCAAAGACCTGCAGGAGACAGAGAGCTGTGTGGTGCCCACCCCGAAAAGACCAGCCTGCAGGATGCTTGCTGCTAATATTTGGGGTGAAGCCAACCCTCCTTGTTACGGCTCTGCAAGGAATTTCAGGGTTTGAACCCGACCAAGCCCAGCTGAGACTATCAGTGTATGGACGGGTGGAATTAGCATGCAGTTCATTTTCTTTTATTAAAAAAAAAGCATACAGCTATGTACAGACAGACTGTATTTGTTCCAATCATACCATGCCCTCCTTCCAACAGAAAATGTGTAGTAAAAAAAATAGCATAATTCCATAGAACATCAGATTTGTAGGTTACAGATCTATTATTACAAACATACAGGTTTATGAAAGTTCATGCCCTATGACTAAGAGCACAGATAAAATACTTCTTAAACTCAAACAGGCTTGCTGCAGTGACTGCTTCCCCGGGGAGCCTGTTCCAGTGTGCAACCACCCTCTTGGTGAAGAACCTCTTCCTGATGGCCAGCCTGAACTTCCCCTGCCCCAGCTTGACACCATTCTGCGGGTCCTATCCAATCAACTCCCTTGACTAATTAGTGATATAATGCTTGATGCACCCCAGGGTATGGTTGTCCCTCCTGGCTGCCAGGGCAGACTGCTGGCTCATATTCATTCACCTTGATATCAGCTAAAACTCCCAGATCCCTCTTGTGGCTGGACAGTACAGAAGATTGACTGAGCCTCCAAGAATCTGAGCAGAAAGGAAATTCTAATAATGTTGCTGCAAAAAAGCAGATTTAAGTAAGTTTTTACCAGCTTTTGTGGTAGTCTTGGCACAAGCATTATGTTTATAAGATCTTTATTTGGGGTAAATCTTTTGCCTCCACTCGACGTAGTAGTTGGGCCTGCTGCAGATCCAGTATTTCTCCGTGTTGCAGAGGGCTGAGCTGATCCTCTCCTGGTTTATGTACGCACAAGGGCCACCTCCCCGCACCACAAACCTGCAACACAGACACACTCAGGAGTGAGCAGAAAAGAAAGTAGGAAAACTACCCTAAAAACGGGAAGAAAACCTGGGGTTTCCTCTCCTGGGAAGGTTGGAAGGGGCAGTGTTCAATGTTTAACAGGGGTTCAGAGCGCAGCATCCTTGGTCCGCACCAAGCTTCTCATGGAAAAACAGAGCTTGTGTGACAGGAGGAGGTCCCTGTCCCAAAGAGGCCATCCCAGACCCTATAAGAACTCCCTGCCCTAATTGCCAACCCAAAGCACCCAACCCCAACAGCGGAGGGACACTGACCAGTTGTTGAAGGCTGCGCCGTTGGTCCACCTCCACTGGCTGTTGCCTTCATCGTGCAGCCCGAACCAGTGGTTTGCTTGGCCCTTGAAGCGCTTGATGAAAGCCTTTATCGAAAAAAGAAAAAAAAAAAAAAAGGGTGTAGGTGATCCTGTCTTCCTAAAATAAAACTCAGCCAGCAATAGGAACCCTGCAATAGGAAGGTGATTTGATTTGGAGAGATGTGAATATTCTTCAGTTTCACAGAAAAAGGAAGCCCCTTGAGGGCAAAGCTCAGGACAGCACCCATCTGGACGTAGGGAGGGAGTTTTTGAGAAAATAATGTAATATTGCTCACTCCCCAGCCCAGGCTGTTGCTTTCCCCAGGGCATCTTCTCCTGGCTTTGGCAGTGGGTGAAATTTGGGGGAAAATTGGATTTTGGTCTAGTCCCACACATTTTCCACACCAGAGCCTGTGTTGGGACTCGTGCCCAGTTCTCACCAGTTCCTCCTGGCTGTCTATGGAGGTCAGGGAGGCTTCCATGGCCTTGCACTCTCCAAGCTGGTTTTCCAGTTGCTTTCATCCTCTGAGAAATAGTAGCACTTGCTTTGGAAGCCGATCCACATGGCTGGACACACGTGGGAGAATTTGGGATGTGATGAGCGAGACTGCAGCTGCACAACTGTAAAAGGAGAAAACCAAGCAGGTGAGATGCATGGACAGCCACCAAAAAAAAAAAAAAAGGCAAAAAAATAACATTTTTTTTAGTTATATGTGTTCCCCTCCAGCAAGCGTAGGGGGGTTGGGAATGCGCCAAGAAGGGGCACCCGCTTGGAAAGGCTGAGTACAGCCTGGTTGAGGGGACTAAAGGGGGTGCCCCATGGAAGCAGGCTCAGTGCTATGGTTCGGGGCCTTTCATCCTGCTGGGAAAACCCTGAAATCCCCCACACCATCCCCTGAAAAAGGTTCCTGGCCAATCTCCCTGCCGTGGGGATGCTCCATTGGCACTCACCAACCAAGGCCACCAGCAGAGCGAGGACAAGGACACTCAGCACCACACACAGCGGAGCCAGGAGCTTTTTTACACGACGACATTTCTTTTCCATCCCATGGGGGCTGGAGTCTGGTGTAGAAGAGAGCAAGAGATGTGGGCTGGGTCTTTCCACCCCCCATTTGCCCTTTTTCTGCTGGATCCATGGTTGATCCTGTAGCCCTCCCCCTTGGGATAGGAGCTCCCTTCTTTGAGGCCCTGCAGGTGGATTAAGAGGTGGCTACATGATAAAATTCAGAGTCTGTCCTCACCCACCAAAACACCCTGGCTGGTGCCCATCCCACCAGTGCCCCACTGGAGCCAGATCTCGCTTTCCCCAGCATTACCCCATTTGCATTGCTTTTCCTCATCTCTTGGAGGGTTCAGCACTTCTTCTTGGTCGGTGTGATTTTTTCTTGGGCTCCTTTCCCCATGGCTGGCAAGGAAATGTCGGGTCTCACTGATCACATCCGCACATCCAGTCCTCTCGCAGCAACCGGCTGACCATGCTGCGATAGCAAGGAGAGGGTTGAGTGTTGGGGGCCAGCAAAGCCCCCGGGTCTGAGGACTTGTGGGGATCTGGAGGGACATGGGGAAACCATGGTTGGGGAGAGGGCTTGTGGTCTGCTGGAAGGGAATGGAGGAAGGGTGAAAGGATGGGAAAAAAAGAAAAGATGAAGAAAGAAAGAGAAGCAAAAAAAAGGAAGAAAAAGGAGAAAAGAAAAGAGAAGGAGAAAAGAGAAAGACTAAAGTTTAAACTGACTTTAAATTCTAAAAAAATTAATGAAATGCACTGCCTATCAGGGTTCAAAGCTCTAAGGGACTGAGCTGTTTGTGACACGAACACCCTCCCCCATCTGGCTTCAGCCGCAGCAAGCAATCAGGAAGCTGAATTGAAAAAAACAGAGGAGGTAATAAGCCACCATCTGTTTGTGCTGATATTCTTGGTTTGCAGCACCCCTCATCTCAGTTTCCCATCCAACAATAACAGGTGTGCTGTTTGCTGTCCAACAGAGCAGCTCTTGCACCACAGATCTGTCTTCCCAACTGTTGTTGGGAAATAACTACCAAGAAAAGACTTTATTTCCAACAACAGCCTTCATCCACATTGCAAAGTTTAGGAATAAGCTCCTAAGGATGAGGAGAAAGGTTTTGGTTTTTGAGTGAATGCAGCAGCATGCAAGGAACAATTGCATGGAAAACTTTCAGTGCTAGGGTCGTGCTGGGAAATAGTGTGTTCAAAGAAGTTTTTAGGATTGAATTTGGCAGCAGATCATAAAAATTTGTAATCAGCGTGGGATGCAGGTACCCCCAAACTCTGTAGTATAAAGCCTGGCTCAGCTTCAAATTTGGCTTGCATGAGCTAAAACTACCCTAACCCAACTGAGACTTCTCTGAAGACCAAATGTCAGTTTCTGATACCAATTAAGGGAACTGCTAGCGTTTAATGCTTTCGTTTCTCTCTTCATTCAAGAGAAGAGCTTCTCTTCTTCTTTTGGTTAAGCTTCCATTTTTTAACAATTGTAAAATTAACCAAATTCCCTTGAAAAAAGCACACACGTGGTGGGTTTTGCAGCCTGCAGACTCAAAGGAGCCTGAGCTTGTAGCCAGGTTTTATTTCTTTCCCCCCCCAGTCTGCTTTTTAACTGTCAGCTCCCTCCAGATTATTAATTTCTACTGATCAGTATTATTTTTTTTTTGCTTCATTTCATCTTTATTTTTCTTTTCATTCCCTCCCAGGAAAAGTACAAAGAAAGCATGCTTTAGCTCGATGAGAAACTGGGAAAGCTCTCCCAAAGTAACGAACAGGCAAAAAATAACCAGCAAAAATAGATGGAAATGGTTAAAAATACAAAACAAAACAAAAAAATTCCCTAGGAGTTCTAACTATCTGCAAGAAGATTCACACAGCCCTTGAGGCAGCAGAAGCTTCACTAAAGCCAGCTGAAAAGGACAAATTTGGGAATGCGTGGTTTTTTTTTGTTTTTTCCCAGAAAATATGAGTGGCAGGCAAGCTCACTGGGTGCACAGTTTTGGAATTAAAAAAGGGAGAGAACATGAGGAGAATGAGAAAAAACAGCACAAATGCGAAAAGAAGGGTGAGAAAGAGACAAAGAGGGTGGAAAAACTGGAGAGGACAAAGGAATAAAAAAAAAATCTTAAAAAAAATAAAAAGAAAGAAGATGGAGACCCTCCTGGCTGGCTGCTCCTTCCCTCCCCATTTCAGCCCTGAGTTGAGCGTTTCTGGCTCTGCTGGCCCCAAATGTAGTTTCTCAGACGTGGACTTACCCCAGTAGTACTCTGCCTAGTCCTGTAGGAAAGTGTGAGTCATCCTGTTGCTTTCACAGTCCTGTAACAGTGGGGGAGGGGTAGTACTCAGCCTGCCTACTGTTGATGTGATAGGAACGCCTTCTCACCAAGATATATAACCCTCTTAACTGAGACAGCTAACAAAGTCCAAACCTCACTGGCTGTTCCTTGAACTTCTGTTACAAATTTATTTTCCTGTTTATGAAAGAGGAAGGACAGCAATATCCTGTTATTTTTCTTAAAACAAAGTGGGGAGAACTTAAGGCCCCCAGGGGGAGTAATGCTGCATGTCCTTATACAACACAAGGTGTTTCCCTCTGAGCTACTTTGCAAAGATTTGCATGAAAAGCGGGGGGCCACAGTAACTTTGACTCACCTCTTCCTGTGGCAAAACTGAAGTTTCTGAAGGTGTTTGAGGTCTGGTGGGCTGCTCAAAATAACCTTTCGTCCCCTCAAAATAAGATTATCTTTTTATTTGTTTGTTTGTTTGTTTCCTTGTGGGTGCAGAGGGCAAAGGAGAGATGGGGAGAGGACGACTCCCAGGAAATCAAGATGATTTTTCCCCTTTGGGATGGGCAAATACACGGTTGGGGGCTCAGAAAGGGGAGCCTGTCTCCATGTGTTGTGGGTTTACGTGGCAAGGTTTCGGTAGCAGGACTCCATGTCCCAAAGGATATCAAGCATAATAATTCGTGTCAAGAAGTTGGTTGATATTAATAAAGAAGGGGGAGATGTGGAGTGTGGACATGGGGGTTGGAAAGCCCCATGCTTGATGATAACATCAGACTCATTCCTGATGGATGAGGCCATCAGGAATATAAAAGAGTTTAGCGGGAACAAAGAAGGGTGATTCAGGAGACTCCATGCAGTCTCTGGTTTCTTGTTCTCCAGCTGGTCTCTTGTTCTCCAGCCATTAAGGCATGGAAGATTCTGGGTGTTTGCTGTTGTTAAATGCAAAGTAGTTGTTTGACCAAAGAAAAGTTGTTTTTGAAAAGAACTGCTGTGGAGACAAGGGTATAAGAGGGGAGCCTGCCCTCAGGATGAAAAAGGCAACACTATGTGATGAAGTTATGTTATCAGTAAAGAAGCAGAAAGGAGGAGTGAAAAGGAGCAGGCTGGCAGAATGGAGACCAGGACGGGAACAGGCACATTGATTGCCTCATGAAGATAGGTTCGGCCAAACTCAGCAAACTGCTCAGAGAAACTGTCCGATTGTTAAGAAGTTTATGAGCCTGAAATATGGGGCCAAACTGAGGTCAAAGTGTGGGACTCTGCAACTGAAAACAACAAGGTTGCGGTGAGATTGCTGGGCACCTGGCGAGCAATCTCTGAGGCCATAAAGAGCCGTGTGGAGCCAAAGTCATAAAAGTATGGTTTGCCAGACAGTGAGGGAGCTGCGGGCTCGTTTACTGATCCGACTGCTACGCCATGGGCCCCTCTGCTGCTACAGCCATCGAAGGCTTTTGCTATTCTGCTCCCTGTTGACCTGAACGTGCCTTTTGATCCAGGCCCTATTGACCTTCAAAAGGAGATGGGAGATGGATATGCTTTTCTTTGATCCGGGAAGAACGGGATACATAAGGCCCAAAGACCGAGTTGTTTGACAACTTAAAGGGAGACATATTGTTCAAAAGGAATGGAAAATGGAGGCTTGTTAGTAATCAAGAAGAGGAATGGAAGATTGAGACTGTTAAGTCATGGATCTTAAAGGATTGTTTGTTACCTTTTCTGATTGCACATATGTATAGGTGTACTCGGGTTTAGTATGTAAAAGCGATGTTCTATATATTTAGAATGTTTGATGTTCATGTGTGCGTGTTTGGTGGAGCGTAGACTCCCCGCACACCCAGCCCTGTTTACTTGCCTTTTATAAATATTCTTTTATAAACATTACGAAATTCAAATTGAGTTGTATCTTCATTTATAACACTCGCTATCTGGCAAACCATACTTTTATGACATTTTTTTTATGACATATGTCATTTTTTAATTGCAGAGTCCCACACTTTGACCTCAATTTGGTCCGACATTTCAGGCTCATAAACTGTCCGATTGTTAAGAAGGAGAATAAGCTGTAAGGTTACCAGGACAGTCTTTGTTTCTAAGGACGTTTCTTTATTTCTTTCATTTCTTTGTTTCTTTATAACAGATCCGATATGGACAGGTGTGCTGAGGGAGGGAAGATGAAACTATTCGGGCAGCAAAGAGTGAAAGAGTGGGCGTGATCACTGAGCAAGAATACTACAACATTTCGGGGAAATGAAACTGCAGAGGGGTGTGGAGGAAGTGGCTAAGTGCATTTGTGTGCCCTTGTCTAGTTTCCCTTCAGATATTCAAAATCA